ACACCCAGCTCTGATGATGTCCATCATATGATGGACGAAAGCTCAGCACATTTTCACCCGAAACGAGGGATTAAGTCTTCTGGACTGCGTCAACATGAATATCGTATAAAAACGAAACGGCTGCAGTACAACGAGATTCATCCATCCTCATCTTGTGAGATCGACAAACGAATATCTTCTTTATGCACTTTCATACGAAATGAAGGTCCCCATAACGAAGTATTGATAGTCTCGAAAAACTACTCACAAACTAAATAGTATATAAATATTTGGCGGGACTGGTATTACACACATTTCATTCTATTTATCATTAATATATTTATGTTCTGAATTATACCAGAATAGAATCATTTTATAATATTCTTTATTTTTTTAGCTTGCCTTGATGCGAAACTTTTCTCCAGTATCCTTATGTCAGAGTTAACTATTAGTGTGTTCTTATTTTTTGTGGAACATCAACCATGTTCGCATTAAAGACTAGACTAGTGTTGGTTCGACTTCGTTTTCTTAACTTAATCTGAACCTCACGAAGAGCTTGTGGAGCGTAACTAATCCTGTGTCCTCTGTCATAGTATTAATGATTTTCAGCATCGGGACATTGAATTGGTACATTCCCAAACGTTTCGCCGGCATCGTTAGTGAAAATTGTCGTCATCAGCACAGAGTTTCAGTTTATTAAAGTGACAAATGAAGGCAATCCCCTTGACCAATTTTCTGTTCAATAAAAACATTACAAAGCTAAAGGAGACTGCGATCAAACAGAAGTCCACACCATCTTGTTCTTCATATCTACAACGGTTAGGATAGTTTACCATTATTGAGGACTTTCCATGTATCATACTGAGTGTGTACGTCATTTTTCACCTAATAGTGATTATTCTAAAGATAAGCTAGCCACATTTAGTAGAAAGGTTATTCCATTTTTTGATGATATTAATTTTTAAAAGACTCGTTCCTAGCAAATTTCACCTTGATCTTTGTTAACATTTTTATAGTTTCTTAACTATGCTAAACGTATGCAATCGATTTGTCAATGGATTGCTTTTATCCTTCAGGCGTGTGTGTCGTTAGGTTGCTCTTAGGATAACTGATTTTACTAGGAGTTGTCAATTCTAGCTTAAAATGAGAATTCGACTTCGCTATTTAAATTGTTTTTAAGTATTTTTTGTGTGTCATCTACTGCCTGATTCATAGATGGGATTCGACGTCGTCGTCACCTGTCTGGTCGCATCTCCTCCGACAGTGGTTCTGATCTTGACTTGGTCGGATTCATAGGCTCTGCTTCTGTTGGAAGTTCGGGTGTGAGGGTAGCAACTGGCTTTGCGACATCTACGGACTCCCTGACTTCTCCTGTAAGAGGCGCCCGGCAGCGCAGCATTGTGGCATTATCCGGCAAGTTGCAGCCAGCTTTGGATTGTACTAGCCCCACGCTAGTCTCTAAGGGACGCTGCACCGATGTTGAGGATGGCGACGGTAGTGCATTCGAAATTGGAGAGGCTAATTGCGTTGGAGTCTCTCCTGGTCGAGTTGGTCCGAGGGAAAAGCGCCGTCGTATGGCCAGTTTATCACAGACCGCCGACTCAGATTTCCAGGTGAATGGAGATTGCATTAGTGGCATGGATGATTTGCGTTCGGGCGGCAGACCAAGAAAAAGAGCACGAACGCAAAGCCTCTCGGCCGGATCTGCCTATTCTCCGGAGGTTTCAGGTATTTACTTTGCTGGGCTTGAAATTTTTGACTTTCCAAAAGGCTATAATAAATGATAAATAAAGAGTTTTGGTTTTATGAAGGAACTATTGAGTTAACTCAGAGTTATGTGAATCTACTCTTACTTCTTGCCAGATGCCCCCTCGTTGCCGATTATAAGATGAAGATCTAGAAGTCGCAATGGGCTTTATGCGCTGATCTAGTATCACTCACTTTGCTTCGATTTTACTCTTTGTAAAACTTTCACATCAATTTTTTCTACTTCCTCATCTCTGCTAATCTACATCAACGAAAAAATTCACATTAAATTCCATGTACTTATTTTATCTCTTTTTTCGATAACTTATTAATTTGCAAACCCTAACTTCTCAAGACAGAGGTAACACTCGTAAAATATGATGATATGCATTTATGAACTGGGCACTTGCAAATTCTATATTAAACTCATTATATCTAAATTATTTGCTTTTCAAAATTATTTAACT